TTTTGTGTGTTGTGTTGTTACACAGCGTAGCCAGACGGTCGCCGATGTGATGTCTGTGATTCCGATGTAATGTCTGTGTTTTTTCTTTGAAAAGAAAATTTGCGTCACTGAAATCGACAATGTTCAGCCAATGTTGAAATCAACAACTTGAACATGTCGGAGAACCAGTAGCGTTTGTGTGTGTATGTAAACTTGCGTTGTTGAAATCGACAATAAAACAGTCACGGGAGTTAGTCAAAAACAGTCAGTGAAACCATGGAGGTAGGTGAAACGGATGCGTCACTGGGTATGTTGTGTAGCATATAACATCTGGAAATAAAATGCCGCCACGGCAACAGACGTGAAAGAAGGTGACAATTGTTGACCAATGACCAGTTAACACCTCGACATTCACAACTGGCCGAGTTGTGCATTTTTTTCGTGGCCGAGTTGAAATCTGGCCGAGTTCGGTTGTATTCCAATGTATATATGCACAGTCCCTGTGATAGAGAGACAGGGTATAGGTAAATAACACTTTATATCATATCATATCATATCATTACTACCATGTGATGTGGACTGTAGACTTGGAGATATTTCCCACAAAGTATGAGAGCATGAACCTAATGGCAGGTTATGACGGTAAATGAATCAAGGGAAGCTCGAATATTCCTGTTTATGACAAGCTGTGGTCTAGTTAGATAATAACATGCCCAGAATACGGGACGCACAATTTATTCCAACTGTAAATTTAATTACTGATGTACTGAAACAAACCAAACCAATAGCCATTGTTATTCAAAAATTTGGAATTCTTCACTAAATTAAAATCAACAATTACTGAATTAGTCATTGTCACTGTGTGTCTGACTGATAAGTTAATGACCACCAGAGTAGGAACTATAAGCGGTAATGTCGAACGGAAGCAAAAGCGGTCGTTAATCGAAACAATATTTACCACACACTTACCTGCACATTTTATTTGCTGGACCAGTGGTAGCCACCGATCGCAGGTCAAATTTCTGTACGGCCGTAGCCTTGATAGGATTCCTGTGAAACCAATGCGCCATTTTGTTTTGGTTTTGGGTACGACAATGACGTCATCAAAGAACTCGGGTCACAACGCCCTGGTATGGCGCCCTCGTGTGTCGACCCTATCATTGATGTCTTAACTAAAGACAATATTGTTGCTGTTGTACTTGTCTGTTGAATATGGCGGAAGTTGAGATTCCATCAACGTCTCCAGATAATAGAAAAATGGCAGGAAAAGAAGAGATAATCGACGAACTGAAAAGACAGGGGTATGACATAGAGGTTTTTGAGCACCCTGAGGTACAGTGTACACTCGTTTAATGTATATGTGTGTAATGTGTAGGATAGGATAGGATATTTTATTTGGAACGTACACAAAAACAAGTTGGTGAATTTGCTACCAAATTGAAAATGGTCGTCGCGCCATGACAATATACACGGGTACTAGGTAACTGTGGTGCATATGAAAAAATCT